AGTAATACCACAAGAAACTCATTCATGGGCTGAATCCACAGAGATTCTGATTCAGGAGGTCTAGGGTGGTAGGTTGTTAAAACTACTGTCAGGCAAATCTGTCTTTAGCACAGTTGAGAACTAACTAGACTAACTCTTCTAAAGCTCAGCAAGGAGTGTATCATCCCCTTGACCGAAAAGTTCCAGTGGCTCCTTAGTGGTCCACCTAACAAAATGTAACCTCGGTAGCTATGCATCACTTTTCCCAACCTGGCCCCAATTCACTTCTCTTGCTTCATCTGTCCTACATAAGTATCGTTAAGTATTGATAACTATGCTTTTTGTCCTTCTCTAAGTGGACCTATCCTGCCTCCGTGTTATTCCCTTTGTTTGGTATGCTATCGTTTAGTATTACTTACGGTCTAGAACCTAGATTCAATTAATTGCCACTTGTTCCTCAATTCTTAGAGAATCCCCACAGGCCACAACAAAACAAACAAAAATAGTTTCTCCTGTGTAGTCACTCATTCATACATGCCTTAGCAACATATTGTCTTGTAAAGGGATCCCACTTTGTATCTTTTTACATCCTTCAAACACTTAGCATTGGGTCTGCTTAGTGCATGGTAGGTGCTCAACTGTTATGAGATAAAAAAGGATGATTTTTCTTACCTATGGTTCTCACCGCCTCCTTGTGATCGGCTCTGAAGAGATTTATCCGACCATCTTCTCCAACGGTGACAATTTCGGGGTTGCTGCACACAATACCTGTGCATGGTGCACTGCCACAGGAAGGACTGCCTGGACCTGTGTGGTAGTGAGCGGCTGTCCACTGCTGGCTGACTGACAGAGTCTAGGTGTCAGAAATGAGAATAGGATGAATCAAAGCAAAGCCTTAAAAACTAGCACTTTTCCCTGAATAGACTATCCCATACACCTCTAGAAAAAGAGTCACTCTCTCATTTTTCCTTTGTATTTCTGGACACTAAAGCCTAGAAACTACTTCCATCAAAGTTCTGTATACATGAGGCACCTGAGTGGCTCAGTTGGTTAAGCGTCTACCTTTGGCTCAGGTTATGATCCCAGGGTCCTGGGACTGAGCCCTGCATTGGGCTCCTTGCTTTGCAAGGAGTCTGCTTCTCCCTCTTCCTTTGCCCACCACTCCCCACTGCCTGTTCTTTCTCTCTCTCTCTGTCAAATAAATAAAATTTTTTTAAAAAAGATTTTATTTATTTGACAGAGAGAGAGAGAGAGAGACAGTGAGAGAGGGAACACAAGCCAGGGGAGAGGGAGAAGGAGAAGCAGGCTTCCCGGCTGAGCAGGGAGCCCTGATAACCATGGATCCTGGGACCACGACCTGGGCCGAAGGCAGATGCCCAATGACTGAGCCACCCAGGCGCCCTAATAAATAAAATCTTAAAAAAAAAAAATCGTAAAAAAAAAAAAGTTCTGTATACACTGGATTAGATTTAAAAAATGCTACTCAATATCAAACTTACCTCAAAGAAATGGTTTAGGTACCAGACAGTTGTGTGTTCAAAAGCAACTCTAAATTCTTTTTTTTTTTTTTTTAAGATTTTATTTACTCATTTGTGAGATAGAGTGCAAGAGCACAAGTAGGGGGAGCAGCAAGCAGAGGGAGAAGCAAGCTCCCCACTGAGCAAGAAGCCTGTTGCAGGACTTGATCCCAGGACCCTGGGAACATGACCTGAGCCAAAGGCAGACGTTTAACCAACTGAGTCACCCAGGAGTCCCTAACAGCAACCCTAAATTTTTAAGGGAATTAGCCTACATCTAAGAAAGAAATCTCTAGGGTTTTCTAACTGAAACCATCAGGAAAAATACTTAAGATCTGGGTCTTATATTTATTAGGCATGCCTATTAGGAAGATGAACTTTACTAGCCTAAAAATCCAAATGAGCACTCTCTTCCAGCAACTTAAAAATGTTACTACAAATGGGGCTATTTTAAAGGACTGCCCTACCACTATGAAGGTCACCACTTGGGCTTTTAATACACAAGAAAGGCATTGATAAAATGTCTTTATAGTGCATCCTTTCTTCTAATTATAACCTAGGTTCTATCCACAGCAGCAAAATGCATCCTCTCTTCTAATTAAAACCTAGGTTCTATCCACAGAAGCAAAGTAGCTGTCCCTGTTCTCTCTCATGATACCTGAGCTAGAAGGTGCTCTTTCTTCGAAAGATCAGAATAGTAACTTGGGAAATTACTTGCCAGAAAACCACATCGATAGCTCTGTACTAACAGAATTTAAGAGGTATCTACTTTCAATAACAGCTTACACAAACCTGGTTCAAGAATTAATCTGCTAAAAGATAGGTAATACTGTATTTCTCCCCTCCATATTTTTTATTATTATTATTATTTATTTGTCAGAGAGAGAGAGAGAGAGAGAGCGCCAGCGCGGGAGAACACAGGCAGAGCAGCAGGCAGAGGCAGAGAGAGAGAAGCAGGCTCCCCACTGAGCAAGGAGCCCGATGCGGGACTCGATCCCAGGACTCTGGGATCATGACCTGAGCCGAAGGCAGCGGCTTAACCCACTGAGTCACCCGGGCGTCCCTCCCCTCCATATTTTGAGTATGAAACTTATTGTGTCATTATTATATACAACCTAGGTTAGTCCTCCTTAAAAATAATTAAAATATAAATTCAGTTTTTGAGCAAAAAACTCTTTACCTGGTTATTTGGATGGTGAAGGAAAACTGTTACACATCCTGTTGATGAAGCTGCTACAATTCTTTCCTGGTCAAAAAACTAAACAGAAAATTCTTGCTTGTTACAGATTCAGAAATGTTGATGCGGGGGGGGGGCTATTTGTTTGACTCAATTAGTAGTATAACAATTTTAAAATGCAAACAGCCTATAAATGCTAAACAAATAAAATGTGATGATGGATCTGCAAAGTCAAAACCACTACACAAATGAAAAGATTTTCATGAAGGATAAATAACAAAGTTTTCCCCCTCAACTCCTTCACCTGTAACTGGTTTAATTTTGGACTACCACCATAGAGGTTTAGAAAATAATCATTCTCAGGGTTAGGCAGTTTTCTATAGAAGAAAATGCAGGGACTTTTAAGTCCTACAGACCAGGACTTGAAAACTTAATTCCATTTTCCCCACTTTACAGGCTTTGAGACATTGGCCAAGTTAAGTTCTCTAAGCCTTGGTAAACCTTTAAAATGGAAGAACTAATCCCCACTTAGGGGGTTGTTATAAGAATTCAAAAAGCAAAACCATGTAAAGTACCTTAGGTATTTGTCCCATAGTAACATAAAACACCTGATTTACAGGACGTGATGAAAATTAGACTTTTGTAAAGCCCCCACAAATACTGTTTGGCACCCAGTAGATGGCCAGCTAATTAAGCAAACAAACAAATCAGGATTTTTAAAAGTCTGATTAAATTCACATCCCCTTGGCCAGTTCTGATTCTGCTATTAAGTGGTTATATAATTAACATTAGCAAACCATAACCTACAGAGAACTCAGTTTCCTGTAAATCCTGAATAACACTAGACAAACTCTAAGGTCCTTTGCACCTCTAAAGATATTACTCTCAGTTTTTTAGAAGTTAGCTTGTGGACATTACACAGACTTACCTGTAAATCCATTACATCGCCATGGTGTCTGATATCACACAATAACTGATGGTCTCCTTCAAACCCTCCATCAGAGTCCAAGTTCCCAAAATCTCCAATAGACCACAGTGAAACATAATTTTCCTGTAAAGCAGAAAGTTTCCTCTTGAGATGAAATTTACATCAAACTCTTGAACAGTAAAATCTGTATTGCCTTCAAGCAACCTTGCTTTTAAAGCATCTCAGATCACTGGAAGGTGACAGTTTAAAACACGAGATTCGAGGTTCAAGCACATCATCGATGGCTCTGAGTTACCGGACAACAGAACCTAAGACGGGAACTTGGGGACGGAGATGTCGAGAGGAGCCAGAAGGCGAGAGCTCGCGCGCGGACCGCCAGCGGCGCGGTTCCAGGAGAAAGGGGGAAGCAGGAGCTTCTCGCCCCGGAGCGGAGGTACCTCATTGTCCCAAGAGCCCGCAGCGAAGGTATCCGCGGTCTGCAGGCTTCCCGGAGGTACCGGTCGCCAGCGGGTTTTGCTGATTTTCTGAGACACAAACTTAGCATAAATGTCCTCCATTGCAAACCAACTGAGACAGGTACAGCCAGAACACAGCGCGCGCCTCTGAGCCCCGCCCCTTCCCGTGGAGTCCTGATTGGGCCGAACGTTACAAGGCGGACGGTGGCTGCGGAGAGCCAATTCTCGTCCTTCGGCAATGCGGGTACCATCAACCCCCAAGCCGGAGGAAGTTGGGCCACCCTTCCTCACCAAAGTGGCTCTGAACAGAGTCCTCAAAGTCAGTATAGGAACACCGAAACGGTGCATTTGTGCAATAATCGTGCAACGTAAGACAAATTTAAGAGCAAAACCAAAAAATCAATGCAAGAGGAACCACCTAGTAGCTTCACCCATTCAGTTTTGTATCTCAGCACCCATAGAAAATACTAAAAATCCTTAAATTCTTATAGAAGTACGTTCACTACTGTACAAACTCATTCTAAAGCTCTCCCTTTTTGTCTCTCAAGCAAATAGTTTGCTTATTGTTTATTTATTGTTTATTATTTGCTTAGTTGTTAATATACACTGTCAGAGCCTGGAGTTGGAATTCTAAAAACTCCAAAACTTATAGTTTTGACATCCACTGCCTAGCTGTGTAATCTTACTCAATTCATTTAAGCATGTAATGAATGAGTTTGATATATAATGTCGACAGTGTAGGAATTAGTGCTCTAGGTTCCTGCTTCTGTGCTTCGAATGACCTACAACATCCTTTTATTCTTCTCTACTTCTCGGAATCCTGGTCATCCTTCAAGGACTGGTTCCTTCCCCTATCTTTTCTTGATTACTCCAGCCCATGATGTTGTAAATAAGCATAGCTCTTGACTTTTGGGCCAGAATAGTACTTATATTTTGCCGTCTGCTGCCTGTTTTCTTTCAAAGCAGATCTCCCCAATTAGCATGTAAATCCTATTGCATACAAAAGGTATCACTGACTTTAAAAATAATTTTTTTTAAACTCTCCTTTATACTACATTCGTAACTGTGTTTTGGTTGTTCCTTTAAAAGGTAGTCCTAGTTCACACCCACAGCTTATGGAAGCACAACATGTAGATGTGATCCGTCTAGATCAGCTTTAGAGGCTTACCAGGCTCTTGTAGAGAGTAGACTCATTTTGTTCTTTTAACTAGAATATTGGGAAACTGCAGAGATTAGATAGAAAACTAGTTGAGTCCCAAATCGACAATTTTATTTCTAATATTAAGGAACACTAAGGTGCTTCCTTAGGGCAGTAGGCAGTGCATTGGTCACATAAAGAACGCTGCTTTGTTGTTGTTTTTGTTTTAAAGATTTTTATTTATTTATTTATTTGACAAAGAGAAAGAGACATTGAGAGAGGGGATCAGGTGGAGGCGGGCGGGGAGAAGCAGGCTTCCCCCAGAGCAGGGAGCCCAGTGTGGGTCTCCATCCCAGGACCCTGGGATCATGACCTGAGCCGAAGGCAGACGATTAATGACCGAACCACCCAGGCGCCCCAAGAGCACTGTTTTGAATGTGGTTTCCTTTGTCACAGAATCCCAGAAAACAGGTAATGTACAAGTATATCTTTGGAGTGGTTTTAGGCTGTTTCATTTGACAAAATCTGATGAGAATTGGAATTTGAAAATCATTGCTCATGCAGTAGCCTAGAGGTCTTGACGTTGCTTTGTTCTTGAAAGTTTATTGGACTAAATGATAACTGGATTCTGTCATTCTCAATTCCGATTAGGAGGCAGCAAGTTGGATGTGACGGGCAATGTTACCAGTCAGCTTCCGGAACGAACTCAGTGTCTTGCAGGGCTGATAGCGATAAAGCTGTGTCCAGTCTAACGGTGGAATTTGTGGGGATTAATTAGCTGAAAATGCACACTTGTATTGGGAAAAGAACATTCTCCATTAGACACTGGTAATTTTAGCCGATTGCATTGTTTGCAGGAGCAAAGCATTCCCATGCTCCACCCCTCCCCCCAGCCTTGTTATGGTGTTCTTCCACTCTCGGAGTGTGTGCTTTAGAGTTGAGAACAAACCAGGGTCGCAAAGTTTCTGCTAACCAAACACTGATGCACTTGTCACAAAGCCAGAGACTCAGTACTCGGGTGAAAGAGGGCCTTTGCCCTCGGGTTCCATTAAGATTATTCAGGCTCCACCATACGGAGCTCTTACTCTAACGGACCTAAATATTAGACAACTGGGTTGGGTGAGGAGTACGGAGGAAGCCCACCGTCTAACAATCTGGACAGCTATAGGAGCAGACCCGCTGCTCGCAACAGCTGACTCGGCTGCGACTACGGAGTTACCGGCAGCGGCGTAACCAGATCGGGCATTCGCGGCGTCACGAATCGGTCCCACCGTCGTGCTACCGCGCTCTGTAACCAAGGCCGCAGCCAGGCACGCGACCGACTGCGCCGGGGCCTGCCCCGCCTGGCCGCAGGGCGAACTCAGCAAGTTGGCGGCGGTGCGCATCCCGAGGCCTCAGAGAGGGGGCACGCAGCGGCGGCTGCGGCGGCGGCGGCGCTGACTCAGCCCGGGCTCCCAGCCCGCCCGCAGCAGCCGCAACAGCCACAGGCGCAGGCGGCGGGGCACGCGGCCACCCCTGCCCGCGGCCCCACCCCGCCGCACCCGAGGCCGCACAGCGTCACAGAGCGCATGCGTGCCGCGGGGGATGCCGGGAGCGCGCAGTGGCGGCACCGGCGGCGACAGCAGTCACAGCGGAGACTACAGCGGGGACGCGAGCGGGGCGGTGACCGTGTGGGAGGTGGTCTCACTCTTGGGGAAGCTGCTGGGCACCGTCGCCGCGCTGAAGGTGGTTCTGTACCTGCTCCGGGTGTGCTTAGCGATGGCCTGGAAATCCGGCGGCGCCAGCCACTCGGAGCTAATCCACAATCTCCGCAGTAAGTGCCACCCCCGCCCAATGTGGGGCAACTGGGCCAGGCGAGGCCTGGAGTGGGTCCCCCTGGGCGGTCAGGAACGCTCTGTCTACGCCCCCGCCCCGTGCCGGCTGGAGGGTACGGTGCAGTGTTTCACCAGCAGTGTCGAGCGGCGTGCCGTTGCTATCGCCTCTCCCGGGGACCTGTCACTCATTGGCGACGTGAACTGGAGGGGTAGAGAAAGAGCCACGGGCCGCTCTTGGTGGGGTAGGGGCAGGCGTCTCCCCACGGGCCTGGGGGAGGGGTTGCGACACAGGTGGTGGGGCTGTCACTCGAGTTCGTCGCCTGCTCGTTCGGGTCTGGCGGGCGAGGGGCGTGCCCTCGGGGTGGGGAGATTGTTGGCCTCGGGTAGTGGCTGGGCTGGGTCGGAGGGGACTCCACCCTCGACCCCCGCGGGGTCTCGCCTTCCTCCTCCTTAATCGGCCTCAGTGTAAGCATTCTCTCCTTCCTATACAGCCTCCCCCGCCCTCCGTTTTTTCCTCTGGAGGGAGATGCCGCGGTCTGATACAGGCGCGGGGAGGGAGGGAAAGATGAGAGTATTGTCATTGCGGATGCTGGGAGAAATTTCTGGGGCGGCTGTCCAGTGGAAATCTTCGTGGGGGGCGGAGGAAGAAATAATCAGAGGATGCTGTTCCTGAGAGACTTGTATTTCAGGAGCTTTTAGAGGTCCTCGATCCAGCAAATAATTGTATGTGTGGAACGTTATGACTTTTTTTCAAGGCAGTTTCTTTATATCATTCTCTTTAGTTATTGTATTCCTTCCTTTACGATAATTTTGAGGTGAGATGAGTGCTGTATTACTTTTTTAAAATCGAGGACCGCAGTCTATAATCCCTTCACTCTAGTCAGAATTTGTATCACTCTATTTGCCACCAATTTTGTAAATAATCGTATCCTGCCACGTGGTATTTTTAATTGTCATATGTTATTTAGCTTTTCTTGTGTTTGTCGTGTTTCCTAATTCGATTTGTAATTTCCCGGAGGGTTAGGACTTTCGTGTTTTTAATCTTTGGAAATCTCTCAACTTATACTCATTCCCTTTTTCATAAATGCAATTAAAAGACATTATGTGCTTGGATCTGTGCTAGGAGTACCAAGATGAGTGAGAGAAATAAATATCCTCGTTTGGCACATGGTTAGTACTTAATATTAGTCGTTTGACTATTTTTTATTACATTATTTAAACATTTTATAATTGTGTCCTTTGCGTTTATTAATGAAGAATGTTTAGAATTCAAAATTCTGTCAAGCATTTCCAGTCTTCATTTTATGGAAGGACACTTGAGTGGAAGTGGACATTTATATGCTGGGGCAGTAATTTTTTTTTTTTTTTTTAATATAGAAGTTGTTTGAGACTTTTTTTGTTGTTGTTATTTTTAAAAAATTTTATTTATTTGACAGAGACACAGTGAGAAAGAAAACACAAGTAGAGGGAGTGGGAGAGGGAGAAGCAGGCTTCCTGAGGAGCAGGGAGCCTGATGTGGGGCCTGCATCCAAAAACCCTGGGATCATGACCTTAGGCAAAGGCAGACTCTTAACAACTGAGCCACCCAGGGACCCCTGAGGCGGTGTTTTTAAGTGTGATTTAGGTTCCCATGGATTACACATAAACTCAATATGTTATAAAAATTTTAATAACATTACTTAAAAATGATCTAGTGCCTACAGTTTTAGTGAACACATCCAAAACATTCACAAATTGCACAAATTGTGACTAAATAATTTTCCACTGGTAACTTATCACAGTAGACACTTGGCTATGGCAGAAATTTGTAATCAGGCTCTTAATGACTCTCCTTTTTGGGCCAAATTTTTAGTAAGTCAAGCTAGCTCTTTCCCCAGTGGTTTTATAATCATTTTATTGCAGTGTTATTATTCTTAGCTGAAATTTCTAACGATGTTTTTCTATCAGAAAATGATAACTATTTAACATACATGGATGTTGATACTGCAAATATTTAGTCTTATACTGTAGCTATGATTTATTGCAGGAAATTAGAGTGTTCAAATTGTTTAGCCTCTTGTAATACTTGTGCAATGTCAGTTTCAACTTCTTGCTGAATTCTAGCTAATAGATTTCATTTTTACTTATTAGTTTATTATAAAAGCACTATCTTCTCATGCGAGGGTTTCACAAAATTTGAAAATTTCTCCCTTTTCCTGTTATTCCACTGTTGTGTGTTCTTCCTAACTTAAAGGCTTTTAGTTGACTCTTAGAGAAAGATGAAAGTGTGATTATGTTGTTGAATTACTCTATTGTACACCTGAAACTAATATAACACTATACTGTTAACTATACTGGAATTAAAATAAAGAACTTGAAAAACTTTGTTATGTTGGTGTTGAAGTGAAAAAGAATCTGCAAATTGGAGGAGGAAGCAAATTACGGTTGTATATTTTTTAAAGAAATGAAGTTCACGATTGTTTTAGTTTTAATATTATTATAATTTTATTGAAAATATCTACTGAGTTTTCCTTATATAAGATGTCATAATAGAAATTTGGTTATGTATGATTTCATAGCTGATATATCATTTATGGAATATAGTAGAATGAAATGGTGTGTCTCAGTATTTCATAGCTTATGATGACAACCAATTTTTTTTTTTGACAACCACTTTTTTAAAAAAAGATTTTATTGATTTATTTGGTGGGGAGGGGCAGAGGAAGATGGAGGAGCAGACTCCCCATTGGACAGGGAACCTGACATGTGGGACTCAATCCCAGGACCCTGGGATCATGTTCTGAGCTGAAGGCAGATGTTTAACCGACTAAGCCACCCAGGTGCACCAACAACCACTCATGAGTAACTTAGGAAAGTGGTCTAAAACTTGAGCATGCTTCAGAACCTCCTGGATCACCTGGAGAGCTAGTTAAAACAGATTGCTGTGGCTCAAGAATTTGTATTTTTAAAAAAATAAATTACTTTATTTATCCTTTTTAAGTAGGCTCCACGCCCAGTGCAGGGTTTGAATTTACAACCCTGAGTTCAAGAGTCACATGCTCCACAGACTGAGCCAGCCAGGTGCCCCCAGGAATTTGTATTTTTAACAGGTTCCTAAGTAATGCTGCTGCTGCTCTGGGGACCACTTTGAGAATCACTGACACAGAGACTTGAAACTTCTGAGGTTAAATTCTTCCAGTGTTTCAGCGGAATCAGTTTTATGCTTTAGAATAAAGTTTTAGGGAAAAAAATGTCTGTAACAGTCCTGCCCAGTAGAGCTCTGGCCTGTTCAGTATGGTAGCCACTAGAGCTACATGTGGCATTCAGCTTTTGAAATGTGGTTAACACAACTGAGGAACTGGATTTTTATTTATTTAACTTAAATAGCCACATGTGGCTAATGGCTACCATCTTAGTGCAGGTCTATAGAAATGAAGAATATAGTTATTTTGCAATTATGGGCTAATGTACTCTTAAAACAAATTAACTTAAAACAACTATGAGCCTGCTTAATCCAGGAAATGTGACAATTTAGGTAATGTTTATATTAGAATTTATTTTCTACTTTTATTGGAATAATATCAAGCCATGGTGAAATTAGGAAAATATGGGGACAGGAGTAGTTGAGGTTGAGAAAGGTGGTCTCCTAGAGCAGGGGTGTCTAAACCTGAGCATTTGTATAAGGTTAACTCTTAACTGATAGACTTCAAATGCTATAGTGGCCACTTAAAACATTTGGTTTGTTTTTTGTTTGTTTGTTTGTTTTACCTATTTTTATTTGTTAGAAAAAATTCAGTCCAGTGTTCTAATTATATCAGTTATTTTTATTTTGCATCCTTGATTATGTCATTAGCATATTCCATGTTTACAGGATTTGTCAGTCAACTGATGTTTAACTATCTTAACTATCTTCTATATACCAAACTGAACAAAACAAATATTCTCTCTTGTAGATTACTTCTAATGGGAGCAAACAAGTACAATACTTAGTATGTCCCATGATAAGTCACAAAGTAGAGAAGGAGAATTGGGAGTGTGGGGTCCTAGGTTTGCAGTTGTGGGAGAGAAGGCCTCACTGCGCTGTCACTTGAGCAGAGTTGGTGGATGGGAAGAAATTCTAGCTTTGCAGATAGAGCCGGGAGACAGGCATTCCAAGCAGAGAAAATTGCATGCCCTAGATTTGGATTTGGGGTGTGGGAAAAAGATTGGAGTCAAGGATATGAGAGCAAGGTTTTGGGCCTGGGCAGTTGGATGATTTGCCATTTTCTGAGTTGGAAACAATGAGTGAGTGAGCAGCAGGGACTTTTGGGTGGTGGGAAGGAGGTGTGGGAGAGCACGAGTTTATTTTTGGGGATGTTGTATTTGAGATGCTTAGAAGACATTTCGGTGGAGACCTTGATTCGGTATTTGAATAAGAATTATAATAATTTGTAGTTTTTGTATTCTTACTTATTTCTGCCAGCAAATTGGAATTATTTTCTTATGCTATTTAGAGTGTCATTCTTAGCTACTAGTAGCATAACTAATGGAAAATAGAATATTCCAGTAGTTTTACCATGTGTGTTCATGGGCTAAATAAACCAGCTAAGAAAATCCTAAGGGATTGTTTTCAGAAATGGGGGCCTCATTTAGAGTCCAGTCCTCCTCATTTTGATTTGTTTCAAGTCAGTGTTATGGGTACATACTAACAGGTAAACTTACAGTACATTGAGTAGAATCTAATTTATATGATTGGAGAGGCTTTAATATCAGTCTACTTAAATTTAAATCAGTTAAAGTTAAATGAAGTTTAAAATTCAGTTTCTCAGTCACAGTAACCATATTTTGAGAGCTCAGTAGCCACATGAGGCTAGACCTGTTAGTGCAGACATAGAGCATTTCCATCATTATAAGTTCTATTGGATAGCACTAGATCTAGCTGGATTGTATTACATTCTATTTCATGTGGTCTTAAGTCCATTGTGCTGTTCCACATATTTTATTTTAAAGATTTTATTTATTTATTTGACAGAGATCACGA